CACTACCTAAAATACAGACATAAAGTACCTTCAGTTGTTGGCGATCTCTAGCCCATTTTTGACATTGTATTGTCTTCTTTAATTGGAATATTTTAGCTTTGGTCGCTAGTTTTATATTCATATCTGTGATTATCTAGTATTTTTACTGTCCTTCGTCGGCAGGTGTTTATAATATCTATATATATTCTATTTCAATGTCAAATGTTCTCGTCACGATATGGCTGAAATATTGCCGATGTGACGTTAAATAATAACTCACTCACTCACTCACAGACATAAAGGCTGCAATGAATGGCGGGATCCAGTGGAGGATACCGAGGATGTTTTTTGTAATCCGTTTAATATACGACAGACAACTACATGCGTGGAAATACACATTCACACATAGAGTGTAGACGCACATATCATTTATGGTATTCGGGAAAGAACGTCCATCTTAAGTGCCATTTGCAGTGAAAACGCACCGATTAATTTCACTTTAAACACAAAAGTAAATCAAATAAAGTGAAATTAAGATTGCGAATCCTCATAATTTTACCTTGCCAATTGAACATTAAAATCTCAGAATTTTATTTAACTTCGGTTAACAAATGTTTAAAAAAATATCATAGATCCAAACGCTATTATTGGTTTGTATTACAAGGGGCTAAGCGCTACAGATGGAACAGTGAAACAAATGCACGTGCGGTACGTGATGAACTTTAACTTAGACCAACTTTGACAAACTTCGGTGTTCTCGGTGTTTCATTTGATGTGCATTCCCTATGTCCCTTCAGGGACTCCATACAAAACAGCAGCCTAAGGTACGAACGGTTTTTATCACCCAATGCAATTTCAATTCCGTTAAAAGGAAATGAGTAATAGAATTTTCTTACTGTGTGTTTATTTTATACATAGTAACAAAGGCGTATAATAAAACTGATGGGTGCGGAGGTATTAGGAATGTTATAACCTATTAACTGTGCGACACAAGTTAAACTACAATTTTTAGTTGGACAATATCTCGATTTTAGGATATTATGTTTTAATAGGAACGGAAATTAAATGGTCCGTTTATTGATCTTGTTCGGCGGCTGTTTAACACTGTTGCAAATAAAATGTATTTTGAGTACACACGTCACAGGGATGCAAATAGAATTGTCCTGGAAATCCACCCAATTAAACAATTCCTAAACAAGATTGTCATAACTGACTTACACTGCGTGACGTCTTGTAAACGGGAATCAGAAATTATTCATAATATACCAGTTGTGCTTTGAAATTGTGAAATTGTCTTGTCTGCATGTCATGAGTTGCTTGTCTGCTTTCAAATTTTCATATTGGGCATATTATATAACGGATTACATTAATAATCAAATATTTATAGATGTACATGTAGTACACAAGGATTATTGATTTTATGGCATCACTTACTCAACTTATGTTGTTGTCAGCCTCGGCAGAAGAAGCAGGTGAGGTTTCTTTTGTTAACATTGTATGTTTTGTTTTTTTCAAAATGTGATGTTTGATTTTGTTGTTGTGTTACATGTAATTAAATAGTGAGGTGTTCAATAACCTGGAAGACAATATCTGCACAACAGTAACTGTTGAGAGCGCGGACAGAAAGGGCGCGTTTACCGCTTGCGGGGGCTTTTATATGCTAGTTTACGCGGCGTCAGCGTGACGTCAGTGTGACGTCAGTTAGCATTGAAAGAGAGTTATCTCCCTTAGACCGTTGATCTCAGGTCCAAACCTGATGCAGTCTAGTCAAATCATTCTTGAGTTGAGATTGTCTTTATTGGCGCATATAACTACTTGTCTGTAATACAAAGAACGCATTCTGGACTCTGGCTTAGAATTCAGTCCCAAGTTGGGGGCATAAGAAACGACGTATTGGTCAGGTGAGCGGTCACTCTGGTTGGTTTGATAGCATGCCATCTATATACTAAAAGTACCAATGCTGTACACTGTGCATGTTAAAAGAGAACCACGCCCTTAATTCTTTAATTGGGAGTGGGGTTGGGGGGAGTTGGTGACATAATTGGGGTCATAATCGTGTACACAGACAGGGTATCACGGATTCCACAAGCCATCTTGAATCGCCGACTCGAATCTAAAGTCCCGTCAAGAAAGAAGTCTATCATAATATGACCACCGTCGATTAGAAATCACGGATTCATCTGACACAAATTAATGGTCAAAATAGAGAATTGCAGAAGAAAAACACAACAGTTAGCTTAATTTCGGAGCTGAGTGAATCTTGCCAAATCATTCTGGACTTGAGTTGAACAAAATATTTAACATATTGTCTAGGTGCTGGTTGTCAGACTACTTTGGTCTCTGCAGATGAAATGATAAACGGCCAGCTTGTATATTTGTGAACGTTAACGAGATTGTACGACGCCTGATGGAAGTCAACATCTGTCTCGGCAAATATACAGCAATAGGTTACACGAAAATGTTTGTGATGAGGATTACATTTCAACTCACTCTGGAGAATAGTCTAATAGTTCGAAACCGTAGAAAACACTTAATTAACGGTTTAAAAAATATCTACCTTGTCTGTGTTGACACATTAAAGAGATTTTCAGAAATAAAAATAATAAAGCACAACTGTATGCTTATAGTATAGTCAACAATAACATTCTGTTTGTTCTGTTCTTGTACCTTTTGTTGTTGTTTTGTTAATGGATAGACAACGTCTTTATTGCAGTGGATGCGTAGATGGTGTAGATCCTAACACTGTTATCAAGCAAATGACACACAACATATGCACAAGGAGAAATATATACGGGTATTTGAGTTATACAATTGAAGATGTTGATATACAGGGTGTTGACATAATGAGGCTTGTTGTGATACAGACATGACTGAAGCCAGATAGACAAAGGGTGGGTTATTCTTGATTTGGCAAGATAAGAAAACCCTAAGAGGGATCTCAACAGAGATCAAGGTTATGACATCCCTACGATCAACTAATCAAGCCTAATCAAGAATGGGGTAGTCAAGTGGTTAAAGCGTTCGCTCGTCACGCCGACGACACGGGTTCGATTCCCCACATGGATACAATGTGTGAAGCCCATTTCTGGTTTCCCCTGCCGTGATATTGTTGGAACATTGCTAAAAGCGCCGTAAAACCAAACTCACTCACACACTCATGATGAAGAACATGACAAAAGGCGTTGTATGCATGCTATCTGTCTGTGGGTGAGTGTAGCTTTACGCCGCTTTTAGCAATTTTCCAGCAATAACACAGATGGATTACATCAGGAATGGGCTTCACACATTGTACTGGTGTGGGGTAACGAACCCGGGTCTTCTTTCTGTGAAGCCCAGCTGTAGTTTATCAAATCAGTTAATGATAGTGTATAACAAACAACATTTGGAAAAGTATAATATTTATCTGAAATAGTTCATTTTTACAAATACTTCATACATTAGAACATGTGATGGTGTAAGTGGGAGCAACGCCAACACTCATCTACTCTATACTACACCTTCCATGCACTTGACGTCGAAACGGAGGTATATTGTTCATCACGAAAACGTGGGATGCGTGAAGGTATGTACATTGATCACTGACACAGACGCAACCAGCCGACAAAACCAGTCAAGACCACCTCCACTTCCGGCTTGTGATGGTGAACGGAAAGGCGAGTGACGGCTAATGTTGATCTACAGCGATTTTAACACCAAATAACCATATGACATAGGAATGGGTTTCACACTTTGTACTCGTTTGGATGCGAACCCAGATCTTCGGTGTGGCAAGCAGGCATAAGGCAAGTCTACAATGCTAACTCACCACTCTTTACTATACTAGCGTTATGATGGTGGCCGATATTGCTAGGAACATTGGACATCAGTAATTCATTAATATCGGGGTAGACAAGGGGTGTGTTTAGAGACAGAACGTTTTTCACTACTTCCAAACACACAATTTTAACCGTTGACTAAATTTAGCCGAAAAACGTTATTTTTACATTTTCAGCGAATAGCAATTTCATTTAGATATTTTTCTATCTATTTTTCTATTTAGATATTTTACAAATAGTTACAGCCCTTCCTTTAAATGATGAGTCGTTGCTGACTCATATACAATGGCGATTTATAGAACATTTCGTTATCACTGGCAATGTGACAGTGGTGATATAAATGTCACAGACAGTGGTGATTTTGTCAAAACTGAAATATTGATCACAGATGTGATCTTGTCAAACTGGACACCAAATAGCCAATTGTTGATTCACACAGACATATAATAAACCCATAAATATTACAAAAAACAAAAAGGCACATCGAATATTCCCAAGGGAACTCAAAGCAATGGACCCTAACAGCAAGCACAAGGTGAATACTAACACCAAGTCTGGGCTATATTATTCCAGCTTGTCTTCGAGAACGCTCGGGACATGTCAATGACACTCTTCTTAGCTGAGGGAGCAGCACCACAACCCTATATGTGCCCCGGCCAACAGCGGCACATTTCAAAGTAACAAAAAACAGAACATACAAACGTGTGTGTCATACTTATTGTCCTTCATGACCAACAGGCCGAACAGGGACTCATGTCCTTCGCGAGGCAATTTTTATATACATTTCTGCAACTGGGTACCGCCTTAGCACAAATGGGCACAGTTAAAAGAGTCGTCATCTCGTAGGAGTTTCTCCAACGTATATTTTCCAACGAGCCATTCCTTCTGATCCACTGATATAAAGTGAGATTAAACCAAATTAAGTCTATCTCAACATTTTTCAATATAGGACCTAAGTAAAACACAAAATGTCTTCTTGAAGTATACTATGACCGAAGTGTTTGAAGTCGTACGTACATTCTGACTGGCCTCATAACTTTTAGCGACAATGGGCACGAGTCTTCTGTCATGTTATGGAACAGGGCCAGCGGTGACAAATACATTCTTTTGTCAGAATTCCTTTTATGCAAGAGGGAGGAAAGTACATGTTTCTCACCAATTTCGTAAAATGAATACGAGACATATGCGACTGCATGGATTTCATTATTACCTATTATTCCTTTTGAGCCACTCTTTAGGAAACTGCACGGCTCGTTTTACGAATGACGGATAGGGACGTTGGATTGAGTAGCCCTGAAGCGAGAAGAGTGGTGGTGTCACTGACATCGTTTTGTTGTGCGTGTGTATGTGCTAATGACGAGCGGTCTGTGAAGTTACTATTGTTAACTTATCTATTTACACGAATTCTCTTCAGTTTCTACACTGGATGCACACCGTTATTCACGATGATTTCATCTTTGAACAAGGATGTCGTTATTTTCGATGTTTGCATGACGCAAGTCAATTCTAACACATCCTTTTCTTTTTAGCATGCCAAAGTTAAATGATAGCAGGTGCTTCTAGAATGACGTGTTATAGGTCAGTCACGAAGCAGGAAGTTATTTGCAAGTGACATTTATTTATGTGAATTAGGAATGTGTTATGTGTGTACGATTTGCCCTCGTATAGCTATGACCAGGAAGTAGACATGTACATCACATTATATTTTAAAGAAAACATTATTTCGTTGCAAAAATGTATACGGCATAGGATAACAACGGCCTTGCATGGTATGTTGCATAGTAGTGTTTTGGTATCATGTTGGACATATCTTGGACATGTCATTGACCAGACCATCTGGTCGTGCCTCTGTGATCTCTCACACAGCACATCCAGGTGGTGGTCACTCGATGGACGTCATGAGTTGTGAGCAAATTGATTCATTGTGATGCCGTTGTCTTGACGATCAAGAAGGTGTTTCAAACAACACCGATATTATTGAAACAGAAACCAAAGTAAGAATTGTCAATGATGTCAAAGTCGTAGGTGGAGACCCATTATATGGCGATACCGTCTTGATCGATGTGTATCTTGCAGCGCACATCTTTTGGGCACCTTCACCCAGCGTTCCTCCTCTGTACCGCTTATCGCAGTAGCCATTGTCAAATCTGTCCTCACAGTCACAGGTAAATAATGCATTCAGGAACTGAAACCCTATCGATGTATGGCGAAACTTTGATATTATGTAACTTCCGATATCTCCCGACAGACAGGGGTGTTTCCGAGCTGATTTAATGGCAGCTAAACAACTATCCGTGCAGCTGTTTTCTTCTGTTTTGGCGTCAAAACAATGACCGAGCACAGATTTGAATATATTTATCGTATCCTGATTGGTTGGTTGGAGGAAGGCTAACCAAAAGCAGCCGTCGATGGAGTTGTTCCGGAACTTCGGGAGGTATCGGTCACACTTCTGGACCGACTTCCTAGCGGTGCACCATGGTATGGGAAGGTTCTGTTTTGGGTAGTACGTCATGAATCCGTAGCACATTTCGTCCTGTGTTCCATCGCCAAAACACATGGAGTTGCCAGACGTAGGTGTTTCGTAAACGCAGGTTGTTCGTATCTCGTCGCCAGGGCGCACTTCGACTGGGGGGTTAAACCTGACGGGGAAAAGAATGTTCATGTATAGCACAAGGAAGTCATTCTTCCACGTCATCTCAATGCAAATATGGTCATTAAAGGCTAGGTATCTCTTTGAGGTCAAAGAATATCGCATACAGTCATGAGGTTGTTTTTTTCAAAGAAAATGAGTTATTGGCTTAAAGGCGACTAGCGGGACTGGGTGAACAAGCGAGCTCATTTGGTTGAACCTGTGACATACATCGACGTTTATGATGTCAGTCATAATTGTCTGATCCAGCCACCATTATTTAGAACCTACATTCATACAGGTGGAATATTGCTGAGTATGGTGTTAAAAAACACAGACATTGAAGACCTTCACTTAACTATGGACAAACCTCGAACAACCTCATCTCACTCTGACTGGAGGATAGTGACTGGTATCCCAGGGTATGGGTGCTATTCTACTGCACGTTTAGACAGGTAAACAATCTCAAACCACAGGAATACATCACTTCACACACCTTGATAACATGACATCAACACGCCATTGCTTGACGGTACTATTGCCATATACTGGACACTCGTGATTAGGTTCAAAACTTGTTTTGATATATATAGGTGTGCATATATCTAGATCTTCCAGGGTTTAAGGTTCATCAGAGTTTCACAACTATACTGACAGATGTCTCCGTAGATACCCCATTAACAGAAACAGATCAGAAATGTAAGGTATGTACACAGGAGTCGATTTAATGATTTTGTGAGTAGTTATGTTACTGCGTATAAGTCAAAATATTATGGATGTCAACTTCTTCTTTGTTGTATACAATGTTGTTAAATATTTAATATTTTGAATTTGATGAGTGTACAAATTGTGTTGAAATTCATTCGCCGACATTTTTATTCAAAACGCGACGCTTGTTTGACCGGCAGTGTAACATTACGACACATCGAGTTCCGTCCTGACTAGTTTCATATCGCTCTTAACACTTTCAATATCGATATAAATTTGCATAAAACTCACGAGTAGATCACTGGATTGTCGTAGTGATAGAATCTGTCGTATGTGATGTCGCGCACCTTGCTGCCGTTCCGGTAGAGTTCTATCCTTTGACTCACACCTGCAAGACAAATGTCATCTTTACATAATAGTGATAGTTGGGATGCTTCACGGAATTCCATACTCTGCTCTGTGGCCAAGTCTGGGCGGTGCAATATGCACTTTGTAAAGATTATACAAGAGTGTGGACAGTTATCACCATTGTCACGTAACACATAGCATTGTAGTCCACGTATTTGTGTACGTAATATATCTACATCAAATTGAATTATATTGATACTATTAATATGTCACATTCGATATGTCTCTATGTGTGATAGCGCCCGTGTTGAATGAGGAATACAATATGTAAACACTGTCACCTACCCTGATAATGTGTGTGTTATACCGGCAGCGTTGAATGAGGAATATAACATGTAAACACTGTCACCTACCCCGGTAATGTGTATGTTATACTGGCAGCGTTGAATGAGGAATATAACATGTAAACACTGTCACCTACCCCGGTAATGTGTGTGTTATACTGGCAGCGTTGAATGAGGAATATAACATGTAAACACTGTCACCTACCCCGGTAATGTGTGTGTTATACTGGCAGCGTTGAATGAGGAATATAACATGTAAACACTGTCACCTACCCCGGTAATGTTTGTGTTATACTGGCAGCGTTGAATGAGGAATATAACATGTAAACACTGTCATCTACCCCGGTAATGTTTGTGTTATACCGGCAGCATTGAATGAGGAATATAACATGTAAACACTGTCACCTACCCCGGTAATGTTTGTGTTATACTGGCAGCATTGAATGAGGAATATAACATGTAAACACTGTCACCTACCCCGGTAATGTGTGTGTTATACCGGCAGCGTTGAATGAGGAATATAACATGTAAACACTGTCATCTACCCCGGTAATGTCTGTGTTATACTGGTAGCGTTGAATGAGGAATATAACATGTAAACACTGTCACCTACCCCGGTAATGTTTGTGTTATACTGGCAGCGTTGAATGAGGAATATAACATGTAAACACTGTCACCTACCCCGGTAATGTGTGTGTTATACTGGCAGCGTTGAATGAGGAATACAATATGTAAACACTGTCACCTACCCCGGTAATGTTTGTGTTATACCGGCAGCGTTGAATGAGGAATACAACATGTAAACACTGTCACCTACCCCGGTAATGTGTGTATTATACTGGCAGCGTTGAATGAGGAATACAACATGTAAACACTGTCACCTACCCCGGTAATGTTTGTGTTATACTGGCAGCGTTGAATGAGGAATATAACATGTAAACACTATCACCTACCCCGGTAATGTGTGTATTATACCGGCAGCGTTGAATGAGGAATACAACATGTAAACACTGTCACCTACCCCGGTAATGTGTGTATTATACTGGCAGCGTTGAATGAGGAATATAACATGTAAACACTGTCACCTACCCCGGTAATGTGTGTATTATACCGGCAGCGTTGAATGAGGAATACAACATGTAAACACTGTCACCTACCCCGGTAATGTTTGTGTTATACTGGCAGCGTTGAATGAGGAATACAACATGTAAACACTGTCACCTACCCCGGTAATGTGTGTATTATACCGGCAGCGTTGAATGAGGAATACAACATGTAAACACTGTCACCTACCCCGGTAATGTGTGTATTATACTGGCAGCGTTGAATGAGGAATATAACATGTAAACACTGTCACCTACCCCGGTAATGTGTGTGTTATACTGGCAGCGTTGAATGAGGAATACAACATGTAAAACATGTGCATGTCTCACAGCACCAGTGGTTAATGAGAGCAAGTTGTTGAAAGTGTCTGTGATGAATGAAGACTCCCATCCCTGCTACCTATCCCAATCCTGTATGTGTTTGACAGTGTGTATGATAAATGAACACTGCCATCCCTGCTACCTACCACGATAGTGCATGTGTTTCACAGTGTCTGTGATGAATGAAGACACCCAACCCTACTATCTGCCAAGATAGTACATGTGTTTCACAGTGTCTGTGGTGAATGAAGACTCCCATCCCTGCTACCTACCACGATAGTACATGTGTTTGACAGTCTCTGTGGTGAATGAAGACTTCCAGCCCTGCTACCTACCAAGATAGTGCATGTGTTTGACAGTCTCTGTGATGAATGAAGACTCCCATCCCTGCTACCTACCACGATAGTACATGTGTTTGACAGTGTCTGTGGTGAATGAAGACTCCCATCCCTGCTACCTACCACGATAGTACATGTGTTTCACAGTGTCTGTGGTGAATGAAGACTCCCATCCCTGCTACCTACCACGATAGTACATGTGTTTGACAGTGTCTGTGGTGAATGAAGACTCCCATCCCTGCTACCTACCACGATAGTACATGTGTTTGACAGTGTCTGTGGTGAATGAAGACTCCCATCCCTGCTACCTACCACGATAGTGCATGTGTTTGACAGTGTCTGTGGTGAATGAAGACTCCCATCCCTGCTACCTACCAAGATAGTGCATGTGTTTGACAGTCTCTGTGGTGAATGAAGACTTCCAGCCCTGCTACCTACCAAGATAGTGCATGTGTTTGACAGTCTCTGTGATGAATGAAGACTCCCATCCCTGCTACCTACCACGATAGTGCATGTGGTTGATAGAGTCTGTGGTGAATGAAGACTTCCAGCCCTGCTACCTACCACGATAGTGCATGTGGTTGATAGTGTCTGTGGTGAATGAAGACTCCCAGCCCTGCTACCTACCACGATAGTGCATGTGTTTGATAGTGTCTGTGGTGAATGAAGACTCCCAGCCCTGCTACCTACCACGATAGTGCATGTGTTTGACAGTGTCTGTGGTGAATGAAGACTTCCAGCCCTGCTACCTACCACGATAGTGCATGTGGTTGATAGTGTCTGTGGTGAATGAAGACTCACAGCCCTGCTACCTACCACGATAGTGCATGTGTTTGACAGTGTCTGTGGTGAATGAAGACTCCCAGCCCTGCTACCTACCACGATAGTGCATGTGGTTGATAGTGTCTGTGGTGAATGAAGACTTCCAGCCCTGCTACCTACCACGATAGTACATGTGTTTGACAGTGTCTGTGGTGAATGAAGACTCCTAGCCCTGCTACCTACCACGATAGTGCATGTGTTTGACAGTGTCTGTGGTGAATGAAGACTCCCATCCCTGCTACCTACCACGATAGTGCATGTGGTTGATAGTGTCTGTGGTGAATGAAGACTCCCAGCCCTGCTACCTACCACGATAGTGCATGTGTTTGACAGTGTCTGTGGTGAATGAAGACTCCCAGCCCTGCTACCTACCACGATAGTACATGTGTTTGACAGTGCCTGTGGTGAATGAAGACTCCCAGCCCTGCTACCTACCACGATAGTGCATGTGGTTGATAGTGTCTGTGGTGAATGAAGACTCCCATCCCTGCTACCTACCACGATAGTACATGTGTTTGACAGTGTCTGTGGTGAATGAAGACTCCCATCCCTGCTACCTACCACGATAGTGCATGTGTTTGACAGTCTCTGTGATGAATGAAGACTCCCATCCCTGCTACCTACCAAGATAGTGCATGTGTTTGACAGTCTCTGTGATGAATGGAGACTCCCAGCCCTGCTACCTACCACGATAGTGCATGTGGTTGATAGTGTCTGTGGTGAATGAAGACTCCCAGCCCTGCTACCTACCACGATAGTACATGTGTTTGACAGTGTCTGTGGTGAATGAAGACTCCCATCTCTGCTACCTACCACGATAGTGCATGTGGTTGACAGTTGCAGTAATGAAGATGGCCTCAGTCAGCATCTCCCGGGTGCATCGCCCTGGGCATTCCTGTGAGAAAGTGACTTGTTTTGAGGGGGCCGGCTGGGGGGTTATCTCCAGATATTCTTGGCCAACCAACAACATCCCCGCATCGTAACTGCGTCGTGATGGTGTGAAATACATCTTGAGTCCAGAAGCGTCCGTCGTGTTGGCCAGCAAGGAGGGATTGTTCCAATGTATCTGAGATAGTTAACAATAGCAATGACGTTACCGAAATAAATATAAGAACTTATATACATTAGAACTAAACGGTCAAACAAACATTGATCACAGCCTGTGATATGACTCAACATATTTTTGAATGACCAATCTTGCGTACTGTGCATCAGGAGGTTTGAGAGGTTCCCCAGTAGCAGTATTCTCCCTATCATATTACATTAAGGAAAAAGAAGACATTCTCACCTGTAGAGCAGCCTTCCTGTACCCTGTCTTGCCAATGCTAAAACCCACATTGTCGTGGAGACAGTCTCCATGACTACCCACTGTCCAAGTGCCGATGATGTCCAGGCAACTACGGTGCGCCAACATGGCACACATGAACGGCTCGGGTGTTGCTTGGACATCATCATCTGCAGCAACACAATCAAACATTAGGCGACACCAAACACATCGTACTCAAGTACGAGAACTAACTTTGGCCCATTCGGTACGACAGTCGTGGTGCTTTGTGGCATAAAGTCTAATTAATATACTAGCTAAGGGGCAGTGGGGTAGCCAAGTGGTCCAAGCGTCCCAGAGGTCGATTTAAGGAAATGAAGCCTACTTGCATCCAGTGCAACCTAAGACAATCACCTTTTTGCACCAAACAAAAACAGGTTGCACCTCCCGCTTAATGTAAAATCTGATATAATGCTTGAGTTTTGGTAAAGACGGTTTTAGAACAGTATTATAACAAAAGAAATCTGTAGTTATCTTACTTCCTTAACTTTCATGAACATTAAGTCCTTCAGTGACTGGTCCTACAATAATCAGAGTCACTGTTCCAAGCCAGTTCTTGTTTTCCAGGTGAAGTCTGTGTTCTTTGTACACACAATATTAACATGCACTGGGTGCAAGTTGATATACATAAGAGGTTGCATTTAGCAGTTTCAGGTTGCACCAGTGCAAGTTCTAAATGCTTAAAGAAGTACAGTGTAAGAACCCCATTTTGACTACCAGGGTCAGCCATGAAACTCAACGGCCACTGGGACCGTTGGGCACCCGGTCAGCGCCATGCATTCTGAGCTACGTGCATATTCTGTAAGTTCTGCTTCTTGTGCACCAGCTATGGCTACTCGACACCAGGGTACGACCCACAAAACGTTCGTAACGTTACGAACTATCGGAACTCGATACTGTATCACTGGCTTACAAATGACGTAGTGCTTCGAACGCTTTGTGGGTAGGGCCCCGGGGTTGTCTCTGTAATGTGCTTAGTGACGAGTATATTTTTTAAAATGGGTTTTTCTAAAACATGATGAACCCACCTGACGGGTCACAGCCAAACAAAAGTATGTGATGGACAGTATCCGTGTTGACCAATATAGGCTCAGTGGCCACGAGATGATAGTCATCATCTACCGGAAGGTCAAACAGTTGGCAGTAATAGGTTGTCTCCCTTGCCGGAACCGGTGTCTCTGGGAAGGTGAAGGACAGACTTCGTGTAGCTGGAAGAGAGAAACAGTGAAAAAAAAACTGTGGTCGCGTTGATCAACATCGATAGATTGAGCAGTTTCATTGATTTCTTAATGTTTTCGGAAAACAATACTGCACCACGTGTTACAGTAATAACTGTTTTCAAAATATACGCCCTCACAATGAACGGGATACCATAAACTGTATCGTTAATAAATCAAACAGATGTATATCCCGTCCGCTGATTCAAAACAAATAGTTAAGTTGATTGATATACAGCAATTTCTATATAGTCAGTGTCATTATTGAGAGATCAAGCAGATAATAAGAGATAAAATTATGCACATTTTCAAATTCCAAGAATGCAGTTCAGTTGGACCTGAAATGAATACTGTTACTTTTCATGTGTTAAACATGCATGTATATTCCCAATAGTTGCGTTCAGGGGTGTGTTTAGGGTAGAATTTTCCATAACCTCCAATCATGCACGTTTCGACATCCAACCAGCATAGGCTACCCTTCAGTTATGACACTACTTTAATAATCTATGTTTGTTAACCAAGGCGATTAATCTGATCGGGTGGTCAGGCTCGCTGACTTGGTTGACACATGTCATCGTATCCCAGTTGCGTAGATCAGTGTCATGCTGCTGATCACTTGATTGTCTGGTGCAGACTCTATTATTGACAGACAGCAGCCATATAGCTGGAATATTGTGCTGCGCTAAGCACCAAAATAATGACGTTGAGTGTATATATTGGTAAACTGGGGAGGTTTCCCATGGAACTAGAACACTCGTCTGAGTCATGCAGGGTCAGTAAAACTCACATGGTTTCTTGATGACGGGACAGTGGAGTCCATTGTGGTCACACTTGAGCCAGCCGTTCCTAGCCTGGCACTGGACTGAGTCCCAAGGGTCACAGACACCTACAAACCACGAACGTGCATTTATATACATGTTGACATACATACTGTCAGAGTCCAAAATAAAGGTAACGTTAAAGAGATACACATAGATCCTGAATATGTGCCTCATATCACTTCACAAATTTAAAATATTTGATGTGAATTCAAATAATTGCAAAATTTAAATTCACTAAATGTCTGTCAAAATCGTTTTGCTTCTACAAGCATGTTATTCGGGTTTCAGTTAGTCTGTCTTTCCCATGTGTGCCTGAAACTTCAGGAGGCTTTTCCTCAAAACGTATCAACATCATTTTGTAGGTAGTGATACATTTGTGCAGATATATACAGTTGCCTTATTGATACATTATGGCCACATTGCGGTAGGAAAACGACATCAAAGTTACGGGACAGGTGTCCTGTGACAGTGCGGAGGGCGGTGGGGTAGCGTGGTTAAGTGGTTAAAGCGTTGGCTTGTCACGCCGAAGACCCCGGTTCGAAGCCCCACATGGGTACAATGTGTGAAGCCCATTTCTGGTGTCCCCCCGCCGTGATGTTGCTGAAATATTGCTAAAAGCGGCGTAAAACCAAACTCAGTCAGTCAGTCAGTGTGACAGTGCGGAATCTACGGAAGCGCCATAAAATCCCACAACTCAGAGAAAACAACGTTCTAAGTCTGTAAAGGTTGTGTTCAAGAATGGGTATGTGTCTCATTTCAGACAAACATAATTCGAGTGAGTGAGTGAGTTTAGTTTTACGCCACACTCAGCAATAGCCAGCTATATGGTGGCGGTGTGTAAATAATCGAGTCTGGACCAGACAATCCACTGATCAACAGCATGAGCATCGATCTGCGCAATTGGAAACCGATGACATGTGTCAACCAAGTCAGCGAGTCTGACCACCCGATCCCGTTAGTCGCCTCTTACGACAAGCATGGGTTTCTGAAGATCAATATTCTAACCCGGACCTTCACGGGTCAAACATAATTCGAACCGAATAACTGGCTTTAGAATGCGACCGGTCGTGAAAGTTGTATTTCATGACAATGTCTAACTACTATTTATGAACAGTGCAATTAAGATACCAGTTCAAAGGTTTATTGACTGCTGATTTTGCAAGTTACAAAACGGTTACATCTGTGTATCGACAGATGATGGTAAACATGATGTAGAGTGTACCAACTTTGATCTGCAGGCCATTCAGTTGGATAGTCATTGGGTTAATGCCTTTGTTACCTGTGACCGCTCTGACTGATGATCATACTACCCGTGAATATATACTTAGAATTGTTCTCCATCAAAACATTTTGTCGTAAGAGGGAATGAGTGAATTAGGTTTTACGCCGCTTTTAGCACCAACATCACGGCGGGGGACACCAGAAATGGGCTTCACGCATTGTACCCATGTGGGGAATCGAACGCAGGTCTTCGGCGTGACGAGCGAACGCTTTAACCACTAGGCTACCCCACCGCCCTTGTAGGAGGCGTACCAGGTGGTTAGGCCCGCACTCTTGGTTGATGCATATCATCGTATCCCAGTTGATCGATGCTTACAACGTCACTCTGATCCAGGCTCGATTACCTACAGACTGCCGTCTTATAGCTGGAAGATTGCTGCGTGTAGCGTTAAGCAAAAAAAACCTAAAACACATATAAGCTGATGTCCCCGCCCTTGGGACTATCCATTCAACACCGCGGTGACTCTGCGTTAATGTCTGTACGTTTATACAAGTCGTTGTCATGTGCTCTTGGGCTTTGGCCCTTTGATCAACTTGACTGTTTTAGAAGAACGATGTTTGTATAAAACAGTGACACATTCCTTTAATGCCTTTAGGAATCGGCATCTGTCTCAGCATTAACTCTAGACATGTGACAAATTTCAAATAACCTGTTTTCATGTTTTAATTGATTTATTAAGAAATATATTGCTCGATGCAAATACCTGATTAACCTGACACCCTGCTACGAACGTCATATATATCGACATAAGGACTACCAACAGGTGCCCTCTTTCACATATAAAGCTACACACACAACCAGTAAGCTATGTTTCATATCACTCAACTCAGATAACCATTCCGCTTGTTCTGTCACATAACGCCACATATATAACCAACCCAAAACGTCAGTGAAATTACATATTAAGAGTGTGAGTGAGTTTAGGTTTACGCCGCATTCAGCAATATTCCAGCCATATGGCGGTACATACTAAGATAATGTGAATTTCAAAACATATTTGCTAAAAACAAAGACCATTGTATATTATGACTCGAATGCCCGTATTTGCTTATCACTGTTAACTAAGGGTGATTCTTATTGTGATGTGCAGTTCAGGTGAGTAATTTATGTAAAGTTATTAGCTTTTTGACCACAACTGAACGATATCAGATCATCAATGTACCTGAAACACGTTCAACCTCTGGGACGAATTCCCGTGTTTTGATTTTGTCAGTCCAAGAGGGAATTCTAGTTCATGCTAAAGAGGAGCACAATAGCAAGGCGGGTGGGGCAGGGGGTGGAGTGGAATACAGTTGGTGCCCATTAGGATTTTTATTTCTTGTTTAAATGTCATATCTCAAAATGTCAGATAGATGTTGTCTATGGGGACGTCAAATAGTTCAAATGAAGGTTCTCAGTAAATTTCAAAGACAACTGCGTTCATGTTTGGCAAATTGTCTTGAGCCTAGCTGTGATTACTTAGATCCAGTCATAATATATGGCTGTTTAGGACCGCGTAGGACAACAAACAGATTGCTATACAATGTAAAGACAACATGGGTTGTTGAGAGGGTAGACGTTTTGCAACGTTTGAATGCAATCACAGCATTGCTGAGAGGTAAGAAGGTGCTTAGACCTTTTCAGCGATATCTTGGAAGCGGGGACGTTTTCACGTCGACAGAAGCCACCTGGTAAGGCGTGTTGAAAAAAATGTAAACTGTGATTTCAGTAGATCGACGATGAGAAATGGGGATACTTATACGCATATGTCCTTGCAAGGATGACATCTGTTGGGACCTCCCAAGAACTGGCTAGATGCTTATCTGGTGATAATATAGACTCATCGGAATCCAGCAGTACGACCACCGTCAGCCATACAGGCTTAACGTCGCTCATCGGTCTTACATTGTTAACGTCACTGATCAGTCTTACATTTTTAACATCACTGCTCAGTCATACATTCTTAGCGTCACTCTGATCAGCCATACAGGCTTAAGGTTACTATAATCAGTAATGTAAGCTTAACGTCACTCTGATCAGCAATGTAAGCTTAACGTCACTCTGATCAGTAACGTAGGCTTAACGTCACTCTGATCAGTAATGTAGGCTTAACGTCACTCTGATCAGTAACGTAGGCTTAACGTCACTCTGATCAGTAACGTAGGCTTAACGTCACTCTGATCAGTAATGTAGGCTTAACGTCATTCTAATCAGTAATGTTGGCTTAAAATCACTCTGATGGGTAATGTAGGCTTAACGTCATTCTGATCATTAATGTAGGCTTAACGTCACTCTGATCAGTAATGTAGGCTTAACGTCACTCTGATCAGTAATGTAGGCTTAACGTCACTCTGATCAGTAATGTTGGCTTAACGTCACTCTGATCAGTAATGTAGGCTTAACGTCACTCTGATCAGTAATGTAGGCTTAACGTCACTCTGATCAGTAATGTTGGCTTAACGTCACTCTGATCAGTAATGTAGGCTTAACGTCACTCTGATCAGTAATGTAGGCTTAACGTCACTCTGATCAGTAATGTTGGCTTAACGTCATTCTGATCAGTAATGTAGGCTTAACGTCACTCTGATCAGTAATGTAGGCTTAACGTCATTCTGATCAGTAAGGTAGGCTTAACGTCATTCTGATCAGTAATGTTGGCTTAACGTCACTCTGATTAGTAATGTTGGCTTAACGCCACTCTGATCAGTAACGTAGGCTTAACGTCATTCTGATCAGTAATGTTGGCTTAACGTTATTCTGATCATTAATGTAGGCTTAACGTCACTCTCATCAGTAACGTAGGCTTAACGTCACTCTGATCAGTAATGTAGGCTTAACGTCATTCTGATCAGTAACGTAGGCTTAACGTCATTCTGATCAGTAATGTTGGCTTAACGTTATTCTGATCATTAATGTAGGCTTAACGTCATTCTGATCAGTAAACCTTAAGCTTAACGTCACTCTAATGTAGGCTTTAACGTCATTCTGATCAGTAATGTTGGCTTAACGTCACTCTGATCAGTAACGTAGGCTTAACGTCACTCTGATCAGTAATGTAGGCTTAACGTCATTCTGATCAGTAACGTAGGCTTAACGTCACTGATCAGTAATGTAGGCTTAACGTCACTGGCTCGACTTCGCAAAGATCAACCACACAGGCTTAATGTCGCGTTGATCGGCCACACTGACCACATTGACCACACATACTTAACGTCAAACTGATCAGCCATCAGTGCTACATGCGTCACTCTGATCAGCGAAGCATAACGCCATGTACACTATCCTATGACAAACCTTAACATTTATACCAACGTACATAGCATTATCGCATATTTTATCTCAGTTGTGCTCGGAAGTCAGATGAGGGGGTTATGGGAGCAGACAGGTGGTTTTACTGAACTGAACAACCATAGAGAAGATTAACTCCAACCCAATGGCTGACATCACCTACGCACTGATTGCACACGACCAGAAATCTGGATTTGCTCTCCAACATTGCTCTTCTACGTTGTTTCTTATAAAACTCCCTGTCTTGGGAGATCAATCTAACAATCAGTGTTAACAATGTATTAAACATCTGTCAATTCACCTGTCTGGCTTTACGAGATGAACACGTGTAGATGTTGACGGTGAGTTGGGCTATCTGTTCAACTGACGGGGCGGCGGGGTACTCTAGTGGTAAAAGCGTTCGCTCGTCATGCCAAAGACCCGGGTTCGATTCCCCACATGGGTACAATTAGTGACGCCCATTTCTGGTGTCCCCGCCTTGATATTGCCGTAAATTGCTTAAAACGGCGTAAAACTAACCTCATTCACTGTTCAACTAGCAGTGTAAGATGCCAAGACGTCACTACCGACACTGTATCCGGTTATTTGGAATATTAATTCAACGAACAGTGGGAGATTCAGAAACGTACATGAACGACCCGAATAAAGCCATCGTCAGTTCAGAAGACTTCTATTAGTAGAAACTGGAACATGTGGTGTGTCCAATAAGATGAAAGAACAAACTGCTTTTTTTTATCAGTTTTTCGAAGCGCACTGAAAGGGCCCTCTGAAAAACTGGAGGAAGGCTTGTCCTCAAATTAGCTGTGTATAAAAGCAGAACGAACTAGTGTTGCACAGGGCGATACATCCTATCACAGTTTAGTGTATTTATGTGGAGACATATAACAGTCATAGGTCGCCAGACATCTGCAGAGGGCAATTAAACATTACACACTCCCTCTTGTTAACATTACTGACTGATGTGTTTATCAGTACTCGAAAAACGATCTCAGAGAAACGAAATTAGATGGATATAAATTACTGGAAGAATTAACAAGATGACAGAAAGGCGGGACCGGCATCGAGCCGAGAGTTGTCACGCTGGACGTAATTACCCCCAACCCCTAGCAGGAAACACGTGTACGCTTATTGATATAAGGATCGGTGAACTGTTTCAATTAGTAAGGTAATATGATATTTTAAAAATTAGTCCTGGGCCCCGCTGCATAAAGCGATCTTAGTGTAACAACATCCGTAAGCTTATAGTAAAGTATGGCCGTTACGATCACCTTAGAGCTAAAGATCGCTTCATGGAACTGGACCTCCTTTCACAAAGCACTAAGGTGATCGTAAGTCACTAAGGTAACCTTAGTGCAATGTCAAAGAATGGGAGTTAAGGTTAACCTTAGTACAGGCTGCTTCGTGAAAGGAGCCCCAGGGCCCTGATCCTGCTCTGACGTCATCGACTCTACAGGGCTGATGGGTACACACCCGAGCACCGTGAGATGGAGACTGACTGTAACACGAAGCGCTGGATGACGGGATATATGAGGCGTATATAATCAGATATACTGTGTCGGTATGTTGCATGGAGGATATGAGCTTATAATTACCTTCGTCTGAATCTATTAATAAGTGGATTAGCCATCACTTGCAACTGATAGAAGAACTAGTTAACTTATCGTTCAGTTCCAGCACTGATCATAGTTGGGCGGGTGGTGGCAGTATTTGACTTCAGCAGGAAACTGGTATTTTAATGTTCCGCGAGCTGTGGATGCGGTGTTTTTCAATGACTCCTGTTCTATGATTGCTTGCTCGTTCTAGTGAGTTAGTGAGTTTACATTTACACCACTTTTAGCAATATTCCAGCAATATGACGGCGGGGGACAGCTGAAATGGGCTTCACACATTGTACCCATGTGAGGAATTGAACCCGGATCTTCGGCGTGACAAGCGAACGCTTTAACCACTAGGCTACCCCCGCCGCCCCTGCTCGTTCTAGACATATTGACAATATTAGATCATGAACTGTTTCAGATCTTGTTCTGAATAAATTGTCAAAGTGAGTGGCAGTCAGCCATGCTCACTCCCACGTACTTGTATACCAAAGTGGAAGAGATCTCCTTGGATCTGCATTACTTTGTGTTTCCTCGTACATAAAACTTACACTCCTTTGTAGTCCTTTTGTACTTACTGTTAGAAGCGGCTTTAAGTCCAGCTCCCTCCCTCAATAGTATATTATTATCAGTATCAAGCATACACCTTGGCACAAAGCCTTACCCCCAACGCTCACAGAATGTTCAGTCTGTTCACGTACAACATTGTTTCCTTCATAATAGATGTCTACCTGTGAAGATCTGGGTTAGATAGATCTTCAGTAATCCATGCTTCTCGTAAGAGGCGACTGACGGGATCGGATGGTCAGGCTCGCTGACTTGGTTGACACATGTCATTGTATGCAAATGTGTAGATCGATGGTCATGCTGTTGATCACTGGATGTTCTGGTCCAGACTCGATTATTTACAGACCGCCGCCATATAGCTGGAATATTGCTGAGTGCGGCGTAAAACAATAACTACACCAAAACAAAGCCGTCGTCCAACGCTCGTCGTGATAGATGTCTAGATGAGGGACGTCAGTGTTTTATATGGACAGTTTTATCATTTACGTCACTAATAAGTTACAATTTATTCTAATAATGGGAACTGCATGTTGTTATTGTTCAAAGACTGTATACTTTTGAGGTTATAAACTAGTTAGAATTGCCATAGAGACGTGGGCAAGTGTATACAACACCCACTCACAAATACTATCCTAAGCCGAGAAAACAAGACGACCAGATTTGCTCAATTTAGAAACAGAAATCGATAGATTGTCTGAAGAAGCGCGAAGAAAACAAATTCCTCTGTCGTAATAAACAAGAACGTGTGGAACCACTCGTGTTTGTGACAGGTACATAGACAACTTGCAGCACAATTAGTTCAATAACCTGCCTTAACTACCATCCCAATTCCATCCATCTTACTGCCAAGAACCACTTCCACCCAGGCCGCGACCCCAGGCCCGAGTGGCATGCAAATGACGTGCATCTGGTGCCAGAATTCATATCTCGCCAGAACTCTGTATACATACGTGATAGTGTATAGGTATCTATGGGAATCCTTGATACAAGATATATATTAACGTCCTTCGATAAATGTGTTAGTTACTGAAATCAACCTTATTTCAACTCAGTGGTGAATTTTGTTTATTCAACCTGATAATTTCCATTTACTAGAATATCAACTAAGGACGCCAATGAATCTACAGTTAAGCGAGAATTTATATCAGATTGGTCAAGGGAGGAAAGGGGTGGCGGGTTCGGGGATGGGGGATTCGGGAAGTACATTTGGGATCAACTCGGTCAAGGAGGTGATGGGGATGCCGGATGGGGGCAGTGTCGGGGATTCGGATCGGCAAGGGAGGAGGTGCCAGGTGTTACGAACTAGTTATCATCAGCTGTGCTTCATGTTTTAGCCTCGAATGTGTAAATAACAGCACATCTAAAAACATTTCCCACTTATCAAACAGCCATGAACTCCATTCCGTGTCTGAGATAACAAACAACCTCCGTGTTGTATATATACACATAACACTGGCTGCATTGTGCAAGCAGCACCTACCGCGTCGACTACATACTCGACTACACCGACGACGATCCAAAGATGTCAAATGACCTACAACACAGGAACTATCCCTCTCCAGTGACGCCAGACGGACGGCAACACATTCTGCACAGACAACGTTACATAGACAACGTAAAACTACCGAAGACATTCTTCTACACCAACAACGTTATACACTCACGTCAAAGGACGCCAACACTTTTTGGTAGTCACGTCAGACGTAAAGCGTCAACACATTCGACTATACCGACACAGTTCCGGATCCACAAACCAGACGACGAACACATTCGACTACACCGACGACGTTCGACAGACGTCTGGCTGGCAACGAAATACCGCTCACAACGAAGACCGTACTGACGGCAACCTCTCCGCAACGTACCACACCCTCAACTCCCCACTTACTCTGGATGACCGACAACACTTGAATACAGACATTGACAGTCCCGAACATACACACAACAGACGCCAATCGCCGGGCAATCCACTCGACTAACGTCCACTACTTCAAACAACGTCAAACTCCCGACACCGCATTCCACTGACGACTGTCCACTGTCATGCGAGTGAATGAGTTGGGTTTTACGCCGATTTCAGCACTATTCCAGCAACATCATGGTGAAGGATACCAGAAATGCGCCTCACACCACTGTCTTGGGAAGGCCCCGGAAATTCAACTATATCCACAACGTTTAAAGTGCCGAAAATCGACAACAGCGACAGTTGTTCTTCAGGCGGCCCACAATTCACTCAGGAGACGTTTTTGATCAGATAGTCGTGTTTCACTATACGGAATGATCATGACAAATAAAACATTTTAAAACTATATATCAATTACAAATATGTATACTTCTCTTCAAAAGTCTAGACTCACTTAAAAAACCCACTGTATGTTATGTATATATATATGGTTACATCGAAGATTGATTTCTCCACTAACTTGGGGGAACCAACTGCAAATTTTAGGCAGATGAATTGCACGAGGATCATGCATCAAATTGCTGAAAAGCATGTGCAAATATCGTGCATGTGAACAGCTGCGTTTTGGTGTAAACGTTTGTTAAGAATTCGCCAATTTTCACTAGTGTCATCATTGATTGACCTCATGAAAATAATTTTTGCAACGTTACGAATTTGTTTTACAATGCATCAGTTCATGTGTAAACAGTACCTTCAAACAGTATGGAATATTTTGCAAAATTTAGTTTAGAACAGTTGCCTGAAGTACGTGGCTATGTTTACACTAATGAGTCTAAACTTTTGATGAGAGGTATATATACCTGTCACAAACGTGATGTTGGATGTGCATAATTTACATACCTGGATGGGTGATGTTAGTTATCCGCTGTAGCCGTCCCCCGGAACTCCACGCACAGTTGGGATCGCCAAGCTCCTCACCGTTCGTCCTTCCGTCGCCGTCAGAATCCATGAGACACAACCCTTGTGTCCATTTCTGAAAACGAAAGTAATGACGACTTGCGTAACCGTGTGAGTGGTCTGTGACTGGAGAGAGTGCTTATGCAGGATGCAGTGGAGGACATGGGTCAGTGGCCGTGTCAAGCAACAACTGTATACTTCAGTCAGTGAGTGAGTGAGTTGGGTTTTACGCCGCTTTTAGCAATATTCCAGCAATATCACGGCGTGGGACACCAGAAATGGGACTCGCACATTGTACCTATGTGGGGAATCGAACCCGGTCTTCGGCGTGACGAGCGAACGCTTTAACCACTAGGCTACCCAACCGCCTCCTGTGACTGGAACTCGAGCGTGTAAATGCCAAGAACCAACAGCTCCTACAGAGCCATTCTGCTTGAGGAGTCAATCGTTATAAAGTGACCGACAGTCCCAGTGCTGGTATCAAGAAGGATCGTCGCCATTCAGTGTGGGGTTTGTCGAACCAGAGAGAACGCTTTACCCTCAAGAGTTGTGTGTGTCTTATGTGTAATTGAAAAGAGGAGGAGTGAGTTTAGTTTATTCAGCAATATTCCAGCTATATGGCGGAGGTCTGTAAATAATCGAGTCTTGACTTTTTGGGTGTAACATTGGTTATTCGGTCCTTGTATGTCGGGTTTAACGTTACTTAGAGGAGTGAGTAAGTGAGTGAGTATGGCTGTACGCCGCTTTTAGCAATATTACAGCAACATCACGGAGGGGACACCAGAAATGAACTTCACACATTGTACCCATGTATGCCAGGAAACGAACCCGGCCCTTCGGCGTGACGAGCGAACGCCTTAACCACTGGGCTATCCCACCGCCCCTAACATTACCTTGAACAGACAAACTAAATGCCATAACGAATCCGGCATTGCAGACCACAATCATATGAATCACCGATTTTGAACACCTGTTTCCTTAAGCTTGTTTGTTAGCTTTTAATCGCGTACTTTTGCCTTGCTAATGTTATTTACTGAACGCTGTCGTGTAAACCTCTATTACAGTCCGTTTGATTTCACTTGAGACCGATGGATTGGTCACTCACACAAAATCTAACAAATGCAACAAAACAAAATTTTGCACAGTCACATGAAATCGACAGACCAACTCTGATGATCTGTCTCAAAAAATTCGGACACCCGAATAAGATAGTAGAACAAGCCAGGTAATCAACAAGCGTGTAGTGAAAATTTCAATTCACACGTGCTAATCGCACACGTGGCCGTTCCACCAGCGAGTGGTCCCCTCGTAAAAATAGCAAAGTGACAACAAAATAATTCTCGTTTGTTAAACAACAACGACTGTGCAAAATTTGTTTTGTTGCATTTATTAGATGTTGTGTTAGTGAGCAATTCATCGGTCTAAAATGAAATGAAACGGACTGTACCTGTTGTGTTTAATTTAATCTAAGTTTGTGCTGAGATAAGTAAAGAAGGAATGTATTACATTTGGTATTCAGTAGTTCACATATAATGACTTCAAACAGTAGTCTCGTATGGTGTTAGGTCGTTACTGTGTTTAACAGCTTGGGATTTGTCTCTTCAATGAAAGAATTTTTAAGATTTGTTGCTTGGAGCTTTCCCGATATTAGACTAACTCTTAGTCTCGGACTATAATTATACTTTTTGATAGTGAACAAAATCCCATATAAATTGACAAGGAGACGGGAGATTCAGACGAAATCTAGACTTGGTTCAGTTAGGGATTCAGCATTGCCAGGAGGGCTAGGCAGTAAGGAAATAATGTCGGGGTCTGTCTCCACAAATAATCCCGGTATGGACGAGACACTATACGCGCCCCTCACATCTAAACATTAGTATTCAAAGACGCTGGGCCACGTTGGTCATTCAATTGCTTGATATTTATTCCAAGAAATGGCGGGAATTCTCTCGTGCCAATGCGCCAATCGGCATGTCGATTATACCTGTTCCCTGCTTCATAACGGTTTATCCGACAACTGATCAGACAGACCGGTGCTTCTTGCTGTGAGACATCTCCAGTATCAGACAACACGGGGATAACCGCGATTGGACCAATAATTGAACTTCGTGTCACGCGACATTATCTGGATACACCGGGACAGTTGTGTGTATCAAACTAGTATCAGCGAATAGCCGACATTTTCTCCGAATTCCGTTATGGTCAAAGGTTTCATGCCGCGCCTCACACGTCAGTTGATGGCCGCCATGAGAATCGGCTTAGAAGGCTGCATGGTCTTTTACTCCCCGCTTGGGGGTCTGTTACCCTTGGCAACCCAGTGAAATTATGCAGGCCATCAAACTGACCACAGGTGCTTTGAGTTCATTACTGTGCGGCTGACCTGTGTACCAATAGGGATCACCTGTAGGAATCATTTCATTGTGACTCACCATCTCTCACACATCCACTTTCTGTCTTTTGTCTGGCACATCCGGTCACTGTTCATGACTGCCAGGATAACATCAAGTACGGGTTGATCCCTCAGAGTGTATTGCAGTCATGAACGCTATAAGGTGGACGTTTTAGAAAGGTTACATGGGGCAGTGATCCACAAAAATTAAAACTAGTTCTGCAAACCCTGCGTGTCGTAAGAGGCGACTGACGGCATCGGGTGGTCAGGCTCGCTGGTAGCTTGATGCGTGTCGTAAGAGGCGACTGACGGCATCGGGTAGTCAGGCTCGCTGATAGCTTGATGCATGTCGTAAGAGGCGTCGTATCCCAAAGGCGACCAGCGACGGCATGTAAATCGCTGTTCATGCATGTCAGTCACTGGGCATTGTCTGATCCGGGCGTGATGGGGTGGTGGTGGGGTGGTGAGGCGAGGGCATCGGGTTTCGCTGGATAGCTTGGGCATAATGTAAGGGCGACTGGGCATCGGTGGTGGCTGCTGATAGCTTGATGCATGTCGTAAGAGGCGACTGACGGCATCGGTAGTCTGTTGGTGGCTGTCGTAGTTGTGACTGGACGGCATCGGATAGTCAGGCTCGCCTTTTGTCGTCGTATCCCAAATGTGACATTTTCAATACATTTTAATCAGAATATACTGGAGACGGTTGTTTTGGTGGTTGAAATAATGAGGACAAAAAACCTATATCTGTCAATTTTTTTAACAGGATAACATGAGACGTTGATAATGAGGATAAAATTTTGTTACAAAAAATATGTTGAACTAACCCAACTCCATGCCTAACGTAAAACCGAAAATACAAAACAGCACCCAATAACGAAGGATCAGTAGCGGGATTCGAACCCTCATCCAAATACGGGATGCGCCTCCGCTATTCTACTACTGGGCCACCCGTGACACAATATCACTGACACACAAGAAGATCTTGAAATCTCCTCATACTGTGTAATTGTTTACAATTGACTTTAAGGAGCAGTTGGAGTGATATCACTTGATGATCTAGATTGACTCTCGCTTCCCGACCCTCATCTGGCCAGGGATAATTTATTTTAATACACTACTTCCTGAGTAAATCTAAACGTTTTCAAAGAGAATCAAACATAAACATCTACATGAACTAAAATACGTTTTAAATTACTTATCCAGAATTGTCAGAAAGCATGGAATAACGAGCTGAAGGTCAAACCTATTACCGCAGAGTCTACATACATATCAAGTTCCGAGCCCTAAATTCCCGTACAACTGACGTTTATGTACGGTAGCTACACATATACCAAATTCTTAAGACGTTTGTGCCATAACGGACTGATGTCTCAAAGCCCAGCCTATCGCACCAGACAGATATGGTACAGGGTTTATTGATACACGTGACCCTGAGAATTCTGCGTGGAGGTTTCCCTATTTTCGTATACGATGTGGCTGCAAGATGGTTGCTGATTTAAAACACCACCTGCAGGTACCACTGTAGTAGCAATCAAACACCACCTCCAGGTACCACTGTAGTAGCAATCAAACAACATATACAGGTACTACTGTAGCAGCAATCAAACACCACGTACAGGTACCACTGTAGTAGCCAGACACCAGAAATGGACTTCACTCATTTTACCCATGTGGGGAATCGAACCCGGGCCTTCGGCGTGACAAGCGATCGCTTTAACTACTAGGCTACCCCACCGCCCACAACGTTTTAGAAGTACATAGTGCTAGCAGTTGGGTGCAAAACTGCGATTGTTGTGTTTAACGTCGTTTACACGTAATTTGCACAGGGGAATCTGCCACTACTTTGTGTTAGTTTGTTTAACGGCGGTACTCAGCAATATTCGAGCTATATCGGCGGTCTTTTTTTTGTGATTTTACCAGGAAAAATGTGAACAGCAAGAAATAGTAAATTGAATGCCGTATCATTAAGCAAATACACTACGTTGTGTGTGAAAGTGTACAGGAAAATAGGTTGTCTGGTGGAAATTGTATTTCTCTTAAAGCCAACTTCTTATAGCCAAAGTGGCGCCCCTTGTGGAACACATACTGTAGGAGGAAGGCCCATCAGGAACTCACGTCTCTCCCGCCAGAATGTTATATCACTTGCCGATAATGGTTGCAGCAGTTAAGGCTAATCTCACCCAAAAAGCGGATTTCACGGTGAACGCAATTAATGAAATCTTTAAGACCCAGTCAAGGAGCCATGTCAGCCATATTATAAACTCTTTTATTTGGAATATTTGGAGACCTTACGAACGTTATCGCATATGTGCTTAAATAACTGAAAGTAAGCTTATCCAATGGTGTTCTCACATAATCGGCCCTGCCTCCTAAATAATCACGCTGCGTAGTTATTCAGTAGCAGATTTCTTTAGTCTTTCCCTCTCTTTCCCCCAACGCCCTAATCTTGAATGATAAGAGTGTTTCGTTATCAAGATATTCTGTCTGTATCAGTAGACTGGGAGTCTGCCGTTACACAGTTAAATAGTTTTGGTTTTTAAATAGGTTCACAGATTTGTTCTGGTTTTATGTATGCTAATTTACAACCCTCAGAGTCCTTAGTCCTCGGCTATGTCCTTTTCGTGTGGGGTGTCTTCACGACGACTATGTCCTATTGACGGTCGGTGTCCCCTTCATTGTGGCTTTGTCTCCCTAGATGGGGAATCCTCTATGTTCTCACCATCATTTTCAATCAACGGTGGGAGCCCTCGACTTATGGCAATGTACTTCACTTGGTGGGCACCCATATTTCCGTTTAAGGTGGCATCTACACGTCATGTCCTCCAGGGTCCGCCTCCTCAACAGTTTTGTCTTTCCATGGGCGATGTCCTCCGCCATGATGTCCCCTACCTGTTCGAGGTCATCCACACTTAAGTCCCAGGTCATCCACAGTTAAGTCCCCCACTTGGTAGATGTCCTTTGCAGTGATGTAACATCCCTGATCTGTGTCCTCCAAATGGTTGGTGTCCTCCACAGTTAAGTCCCCCACTTGGTCGAAGTCCTCTGCACGTGCACGATGCAACATATCTGATCTTTGTCCTCCAAGTGGTTGGTGTCCTCTACAGTTAAGTCCCCACTTGGTCGAAGTCCCTACAGTGATGCTAACACCTCTGATCTTGTGTCCTCCAAGCGGTTGGTGTCCTCCACCACGTACAGTTAAGTCCCCACTTGGTCGAAGTCCTCTACAGTGCACGCGATGCAACATATCTGATCTTTGTCTTCCAAGTGGTTGGTGTCCTCTACAGTTAAGTCCCCACTTGGTCGAAGCCCTCTACATGGTTGGTGTCTCTGCAGTGACTTGGTCGAAGTGTAACATATCTGATCTTTGTCCTCCAAGTGGTTGGTCCTGATCCCTCCAAGTATACAGTCCCCACTGGTCGAACTTGTGCACGCGATCAACATTTCTGAAGTCCCTCCAAGGGTTGGAAAATCTCACATACGTCCCCCACTGGGTCGAAGTGTGTTGTAACATCTGATATGGTTGGTGTCCTTACATTTAAGTCCCCCATCTTTGTCCTCCAAGTGGTTGGTGTCCTCTATAGTTAAGTCCCCCACTTGGTCAAGTCGAAGTCCTTATCACAGAGTTGTAAGCCGTATCTGATCTTTTGTCCTCCAAGTGGTTGGTGTCCTCTACAGTTAAGTCCCCACGCTTGGTTGAAGTCTTTGTCCTCTACAGTCCTTGTCGAACATATGTAACATATCTGATCTTTTGTCCTCCAAGTGGTTGGCGTCCTCTGCTCTTTGTCCTCCAGCGTTGGTGTCCTCTACATACGTCCACTGGGTCGAAGTCCTCTTAGTGTTGTAAAATCTGATCTTGCCCGACATTTAAGTCCTCCAAGCGATGCAACATTCTGGTGTCCTCTGTTCTACGTCCCCCACTTTGTCGAAGTCTCGGCTAAAGCGTTGTAACATATCTCATCTTTTGTCCTCCAAGTGGTTGGTGTGTCCTCTACAGTTAAGTCCCCCACTTGTCGAAGTCCATAAAGGTGTAACGGTCTTTGTCCTCCGCGATGTCCTCTTACAGTGATATCCGTCTATAGTGTTGTACATATCTGACGATGTTGGTGTCCTGAAGTCTTGGTCAGCGTCTACAGTGTTGTAACATATCTGATCTTTGTCCTCCAAGGTTGGTGTCCTCACAGTTAAGTCCCCCACTCTGAAGAAGTCGTCTATAGTGTTGTAACATATCTGCTTTTCCTCCAAGTGGTTGGTGTCCTCTTACAGTTAAGTCCCCACCGTCCTATAGTGTTGTAACATATCTGATCTATCCTCCAAGGACAGTTAAGTCCCCCCACTGAAGTCGTCGTATCGTGAGATCGTGAGATTGCTGTTGTGTCCTCGTGGATACTGGAAGACATTTCGAAGGCATGAGCATGCAACAACATTATTGATGTAAGATCTGAGGCCTCGCAAATGTCAATTTCTGAAAACATACACATCGTCATATTACATTGGTAATGATGGTTAGTCATCTGTCCTCGGCTATGTCCTTTTCACTTGTTATGTCCCACTTAAGGTCTTGTCCACGGCCATGGCGGCTAAGTCTCTGTTCTCTAGGTCACTGATGACGAAATACGGAATCACTTTAAGCTAGAACATTAGAGAACGTATTGCTTGGACACATCCCCAAGGAACCAACTGGTTCATTATTCGGGTTCCGAGCTAGAAGGATCTTTTAAAGACATATTTACCCCAAGGAAGTTCGGTGTTTAATTACGCTTTCTCCCACAGGTTTTACAAAACCTTCCCACCAAAAAAAAACCCCGAAATAAATCTTACCATAACCCCAGACACATTGCAAGAATTATTCGACAATTTTAGCACCACATCATTCAACGTAGGAAAACTCCCCACATCACATGAAATAATCTCACTGATTCATAAATACATTTTTGTCGGAATCTCCGGTTACATTATTCATGAAACCGGCTTAGTATATATTTATTTTCAAATGATTCTATTTTATTACGAAGAAGGAATCTACATTTCTATAAAGCATAACTACGAACCCTTCAACAGGGTATTTGCATCCACAATACTGCTGAAGCCTTTAGATGCCCTTCAGAATAGTTTCGAAAACACATATTCCTTTCTTATGGTTCGTGGTTTTCCTGAGACTGAAGTGGTCTAAAATTATTGTAAATTAATTTGACGAACTATGCTGTTTCTTATACAGGCGCGCGTAGCGTTTTCATTTGTTTCTGTGTTAGCCCGATATAGGTTGCAAGCTTTATATGTAGACAGTATTGAGGGCTTGCGCCAACCTTTTTACCAACAGTTATGTGTAAGTCCGGGCTTTTTTCATAATGGTAGCTACGCCCCTTTATAATATTCATAACTACGCGTTGTTAACTTGCACGGGTTATTGGAATGAAACAGCGGTTGTTTACCAGCCTCATGGGATCAGAGCAACTTTTCACCTCTTCCGCATACCCATGTGCCAAAGGTATGCGCACGGTATTTGTGTCGAGTTAGGGCAGACGCATTGTCATATATGTCTGTATTGTTCTCCTGGTTATTAACCTTCCGCGAGGAACTGGGTTCAAACTCGTTCATGTGAAACGTCAACAATTGGCATACCTTTCCTTCACTGTGAAAATCCTCTCCAAATGGATTTCTACGCCCTTGTCCACCGGGAACAAGGTGGCCGACCCCACCCCACACCTCCCCGGGGTTGCACGGGTTGGGCACTCGGTTGCCGTTGGTAGTCGCTCTTTGGGAACATCTTGAACGCTGTCGTTAGCTGCAATACTAGTAAGTACGTGACTGTCACGTGATGTATTGCATCAGCTTCACGTAGGCACTTCCAGCTGAAAGTAAAGATGTAAGATTTTGGGTTATATAGAAGCTAGTCTGCCATACAGACCCCTGAAGCAAATATATCCAAGAGAAAAAAAAAACCCACGCAAGTCTACAAAATGTGGCAAGTCTAGATTTCCACAGCTAGATGAAAGTCTCGGGGCTCCTTTCATTATATTTTATTTCACCATGAGCTTTTTCTGTAAAATATGTCACTTCAGAGACTATAAAATAGCTAATCAATAAATACTCGGTAAATCACTAATCAATAAATACTAAAATCACTAGATTCTAACAAAGGGTGAAGGGTGCAACAATGGTGGAGACGAACAATCAGCAAAGACAAGACTTGACGTTAGTTGGCAAGAATGCACAGTAACAACCAGCAAGTATGACTCTATGACGCACGTCATTCAGCAGTGAAGACGCACAGTAACAATGGTGGAGACCTCTATAATCAGTAACAACTGACAAGACCTCTATGACGCAATTTAGCAATAATGCAAGTATGTCTATGACGCAACAATCAGCAAGTATGACCTCTATGACGCACAGTCAGCAGTGAAGCAGCAACAATGGTAGTGACGAACAGTAACAATCAGCAAAGACAAGACTTGACGTTAGTAAATAGCAGCAAATGACCTCTACATAGTAACAATCAGCAAGTATGACCTCTATGACGCACAGCCGAAGCAACAATCAGCAAGTATGACCTCTATGACGTCATTCAGCAGTCAGAAGGATATAGCAACAGTAAGCTATATTACGCATAGTTATAGGACGACAGTAGCAAAGAAAGGGCTTCGGTGAAGTCAGCCATCAATGACATTGTCAACGTCATTCAGAAGATGGATAGCATTATAACAATGGAGCTTTGGTGTAGACCATGAAGTCTAGGTGAGTTAGTCAACGCGATGACATTATCGAGCTTGGTGTAGACCAACTCTGGAGCAACGAGAGTGAGTGAGTTGGTTGTAATGCCGTATTTAACACTATTTTAGTCATATCACGGGACATGTTGTGGAAGGAAGTCTCATGGCCTAAATGATAATCGTCCATGGAAAACCAACGTACATGTGTGGGGAATAAATATAGATACAAAATCAGGTTCAACCAATGACCGTAGGTTACTTTCATGCACCTAAGGGACGCAACTATAACGAAGTCTCAAGCTTAGGCGACTGGGCGAACTGGACGACCTTACAAAATACACGGGAAGAAATTTAGGTGGTTCGGCGTTTAGCACATGTGTCTTTACGTGAATGTGCACAGTTTGGGGACTAGTATTCTGCCCTAAGTTATCAAAGGTTGAAAATACTTCATATACAGTACAGCCGTTATCAATCCTGAGTTTCTCTTCCCTATCTTCAAGTTACTTTTACGATGGTAAGCTGAGCCCGTTTGAGGTCATATTTTGCTGTATCTCTGCTCATACAACGAGACGAAGCTGTCAGCGCACCTGCATATGCCATAGTCGTAACAGCTCCATCCGCTGTTTAGTGGCTATGTGACTGTTCATGTGGCAACAGTGTCATTTTAGGTAAATTGAGACATACAACAATGAACAAACTCTTTATGGATAACAACTTCTTAATTTCGTGAGTGCGACGTTTCCATACAGAATCTTGTAGACGACGGATAACTCATACCTGCTTGACAACGGTACAAGAACTGTATGGAAACGCCGCACCCCGAAATAAAGAAGTTGTTATCCATGAAAAATTTCATTATAGTATTGAAAACCGTATTTCACGTTTTGCTGCATATACAACTTCCTACGCTTCCGTACAACTCTGCTTTATAACGTCAACTATTTTCTGTCACCTACATCAGCTAATAAACGATACGGGAGAGTCAGTTGTATCTCTCTTGAGATTCGGAACTTGACATCCTGGTTCAAGACCAACACTTCGCCCACACTGCTAACAATATCTGTCCCTTTAGATTACCATGGTGCTACAATAAGCGTTAACACTGTATGTCAGCCATTTTGAATGTTGATTCCAACGTTCCACATGTTTTAAGTTCTTTGGGTTTGTCGAAAAAGATCTCACAAAGAATATCAATAATCCTAACAATTTCAGTCCAACTGCGATGTGTCACACCCAGATCCGTGTCCTGTTCTCTACAGCCATGTGGTATTGATCAGCTGGTTGGTTGCGTACGTGACAGCATTACCAATAAACCACGTGGGAGGAAATAGTTCGATATTCCATCATATTTTGCGTTATTATATTCACATTTTGTCACAGGTGATGTATTACGCTCTTAGATAAAGATCAGTTTGTGCCAGTGTTTACAAATCAAGAGTGGACTGCCGTTCATATGTTCTGCGATACTTGTCTCAAATTCTCGAATTCCGTCACGAGTGGGGATCGTTCAATTATTCCTTTGTTAAGCAAGCGTTTTATTTATTTTAGATTATATCTCGGAGGGTCAGCTTGACTTAGCTGAAACACGAGTGCGGACGTCGTGTAGATGAAAAAGTCAGAAACAACCGGGACAAATTCAGATCCATGACATAGGCTGCAGGGCTCGGATTTCTAAGCAATTCAGGAACTTGCAAATTTCTCTATGTATATTATTCTTGCACCCAGTGCATAAAGTTAAGATTTTGTGTCTCAAAGAACACACTTCAGCTGGAAAAACAGAATGATGAGGAACTGACTTTACACAACAGTCTTGTTTCCTGTTGATTGGGTTTCGGGTCCTATTCCGCAACATAAGTACAAACTTTCAGTCCAGAATTATGAGACCAATTCATTCAGCTGATACCTAAATATTAATCAGTATTATTTGATGCATCTAAACACTTTGTATATTATTGCAAACACTATGCTCCTTCTAATCCTTACAAACACGTCGTATTGTAGCGTGCGCTCTTGTCGTACAGCGTGATTCTGACAGACGGAAATCTGGAAATCGGAAATCTCAAACAAGGGTCTGCCCTAGAAAAGTTTTGGCGGTCAGGTACGGACTTGATATTACATCAATCACACTGTAATGTCACACATCTACACTGCATAAGCTGCAAAAGAACACATAACCAGTGTGTAACCAGTGAGCCAGATGAATTGTGAATCATTTTACGACCCTTCATCAAACATCAGGGCAGTTTGTGACGCCTAAGTTAGAGGTCATGCTGCCTACACCTCGCAATGAAATATAGAAATACGATGTTATTTAGTTTAAAATTGAAACTAACTTTAAATACCATTTTCTCATAAAAGCAAAGAATTGGAATTCAGTGTAACCATTGTTTTTGTGGTGTCTCTTTTCACTTTCTACATGAGTAAATCCGGATCGGCTGAAAAGCAGGTCATTGTCTGAATTGGTTAATGAGACTCATGTTTCTGGTTTGGTGACTCTGATTATTGTAGAAACAGTGACCGAAGGAGTTACTGCTCATGGTAAATCCAGGAAGTAAAGATAATTACATATTTTTACAAGCAACACAATTCTAAAACTGCATTTACCAAAACCTACTATTATAGCACAGACATAGTGCCATGGAGGTACAGCCTGTTTTGCTTGGTGCAACAAGGTGATTGCCTTTAGGTTGCACCTTGGGTGCAAGCAGGTTTTATTTCCTTAAATTGACCCTGGTCCGACTGGTCCTGCAGGCTTTAGCAAGCAGACGAATGGCCTAAACTGTTCCTCACGCAAAAGCCGCTGCAAATGGGTTTGGTAAATGCAAATCAGTTCCGTTATAATATATGATTGTCAGCACGTTTTGCAAACTGTTGTCGACCAGTTACCCCCTCTCACCCTCTAATTGGACCTCGCACGAAAAGTACAGCATTCTATAGCACAGGTCGTCGAACTGGAAGATCGGTGAAAAACAGGTGCTCCCAAACCTCATGCTCTCCCTGGGCTATTTAAGACAGAACAGATATATCTTGCACAAACAATCGACTATTCATCTGTTGTGTAAAACAGGTGCCTCATGTCCCTAAAGAGGTACGGATTGCACCCTAGTCTAGATCTAAAGTGGGATATTCCTGTTATTTTCCGGTGCCCAGTGATGAGCATCTTCCTCATATCTCTCTGGTACCCAGTGTAGAGCACCTACATAGTTATATCGCTGGTAACCAGAGTATCCGTACAGTTCAGGGATAGAGTCTTTAACTGTGAGCTGGGTTGTGCTGTACACAGCTGTTGCTGCTAAATCGAGATGTTTGATGAAGTTTGATAAGGGTGAGATGGCAACCTGTCCACTAATTAACCCCAAGCTGAGATTTGAGCGAGATTCATCCCACACGCGAGCATTACATGTTTCAAGCGGTGCTGTACAGGTCTCTGACGTGTATCTGATTTAAGAGGCTGTACCACTTGGGTGACCAGTGTGCATTGTAACCACACGCCAGAGAAGTGGCCACAGCAATCATGGGGCGCTTTAACTCCGAGAGGCTATAACATCGGAATATATTATGGAAAAAAAATACACACAGAAGTGAGGTACAGCTCTCCCTATATCCCCTCTCTCACCCTCCACCCCTCTCTTCCACTCTCCCTCCCTCCCTCCCCTCCCTCTCTCCATGCCTCTCTCTCTCTCTCCATCGCCTTGCTCTCTCTTGCTCTTTGCTCGTACTCTTACTCTCTGACCATCCTCTCTCTCTCTACTCAGGACATGATCAACGCACAGATTGTTATTACACCCTGTCTGAATACAGACAGTGACATCCTACACCAATGCAACTCTTGTTCTCGATATGTTTAATCGACTACACGCACTTGAATAAGTCAGAGCCGCATATTACAGATGTCATATCAGATGTTGCTGACAGACGCCGCCTTATCAAGTTGGATCTTTCCAGTTCAGCTAGGACAAAGCGTTGGAGCTTGTTATTCCGGATTCCGGATGTAAACTGTTGGTTTGAGGGACTGTGATATACGTTCTTCCTTCCTCCACGAGATGAATCCCAGTAACACTGATAACCCTTTCTGTCTTCCAGCCTACAAGTAGGAGCAACTGATACCTCTAAAGC